TGATATTGTGATTTCCATTACTGCAGAGATCCAAAACTTTTATGAGCTCATTCCAGCTAATAAATACCTCAAAGTTTTTTAAGCACCATTCAAATAGACCCATTAAGTAGCGAAAAAAGTCAACTTTAGTTCATTAAATAAATTAGTATAGAGTCAAGCTAAGTTTGTTTGAAGGATTTAAGAAAATCTCTATTTATTTAGTTTTTTTTTTGTTGTTGTTGCTTACAGTTTTCTTCTGATTTCCAATGCTACAAAATGGTCTTTAGGATGATCGACAATCTGGTGGAGTATCCTCATATTAGACTCGTATAATCATGTATGGACATCTGCCAGCACATATGCAGAGAAAGAAAGGAGGGCCCAAAAAAATATTACGATCAAGAGTCAGAACTTCGATCTGGTTGAACTGTAAAGTGCCTTGAGATGACATGTGTTGTGAATTTGGCGCTATATAAATAAACTGAATTGAATTGAATTGAATTGAGGTGGTTTGGTGGCATGTTTCCCCAGACAGGTTTTTAATTCCATTATTTAACTCTATCCCAGAGTCTTAAGGAGCAAAACCATCATTCTGACTTTTGCAAAAGGCTCAGCTGTAAATTTATCCTCTCCTGTCGCCCCTGCCAGACATTTCAATATATTATATTTATATATATTTATAAACCTGATTTTACTTTAATCTTTCTTTTGAAGCCTCTTTTGTCAACACAATCTCAAGGATAAAATGCAGCATTTTTTTCCAAGTCCAAACCAGTTCAAGCACAAGCTGCGGCACTAAATGTGGTGTTAAATCCACATAATTTGCGCTGGATATTTCATTGCAGACAACTGAAGAACAAACACCAGAAAGGCTAAGATGCCTTTGTAGACCTTCCGCCGAAAGTTCTACATAAATGCCACGTTTTGGCTAGTCAGAGTGATTCAATATATCTGAAATAAAGCCGTCTGGATTAAAAAAATATGTTTAAGATACCTCTAATTCCTGTTGAGATATCTTCAAAGGAATTTTGACTAGTCAAAAATAAAATTCTAGATATCTATAACATGGATACATCTAATCATTATTTGCTTTTAAGATATCTGGAATTTAATTCCGACTACTCAAATCCTCCTTTAAGATATCTTGAAATACTGCATAACAAGGTAATTTGAGATATCTCTCATTTAAGTTTATGATTAGTCAGAACAAAAAATTCGATTTTTCAAATTCACTTTCTGAATAGTCATAGTTTAATTGTTGATATCTGAAATATACCTCTCAGATAGTAAGCAATGTTTTGCAGATATGTTAAACTGGAGACCCTAAACAAATTAATGGTAAATCTGACGTCATTTAGACTACTCATAATTTAATTGCAGATATATGAAATAAGTATTTTGCATGACCAAATACAGTATAAATATACAGATATCTTATTTACTAATATGTCTAGTCAAAAACGGATTCAAGATATCTGGAATGAAAACGTGGTGAAGATGATTTTATGATAAAAAGGCCTGCCATACTTGTTGTGCTCTTCCAGGGACTGAGGGACTGACTTGGCTGTAGCTCGTGTGTTGCAGTTACCATAGCGACAGTGCGTGCTGACAATGACTTAAGATGATTAAACAGTCGTGCTACTTTTGGCTGCTTAAATATAAAACACCTCACAGTTTAGTGGAAGACCAAGATCATCGTCTTACAGTCAGTTTCACTGTAACTACTTTAGTTTATGTCACAATTTAAGCAATAGATAAACGAATAAAACACAGAGGAAACAACCTCATTGTCCTTAATAGTAGTTACAGCCCTGGAAATGAGGATATCCAAAAATGTAATCAGCAGGAAAACAATGTGTAATTAATCAGGGGTGTACAAATACTGCTGGTTATATGGTTAATGTTTTATGTCAATTTAAAATAATACAGGACATTTTTTAAGCAATAACAAGGCTTTTGTTGGGCCCTCTATAAGCCTGGAACTTAACGCTACTCCAGACATTTTGAATTGAGAAAGCTTTATGGATGAGAAGCGAAATGTCTTAAAACGGCTTAAAATCTATTTAACTTAAAAGATCTAATCTGTTGCATAAATTCAGGGATTTAAATGTTTCTTTAAAGAAAAAAATAATCAACCTCACAATATCAACAATCTTTGATATCAAGATAGTTATTTTACAAATTTAAACTGTTTCTAAAATTGACTGAAACCAATGGATCTATAAAACAGCTTAGGTTGTTAAAAAAAACTTGATAAATAAACATCAGGTGGTAATTGAAGAATGATAGCTTATAAGTTACTTCATATAATAAATGTCAAATGAAACAAATGTTTTTAACAATATTATAAAAATACATTAAAAAAAAAATCACAGGGTTTCCATTTTTAA